TTTGAGGAGTGGCCGTAAACTATGAAGTGACACAGTTCAAACACGCATACAGTCTGAACAAAATATTATTGTGTATAGTGTGATTATATTTACAATATCACCAAGTCTCATGGTTGAATATCACGGTCAGTGGCGTTTCTCGGGGGAGGCCAAGGTTATCTGGGGCCCAGCTGAGTCGACTGGAGGTGAAACATTCGCAACACTGGCCAACCAAAGGGAAACAAAGACATCGTGTGTTTCACTAAATATGAAAAGCAGGAGCACCATTTTCTATTGCAAAAAGTGTGATGTTCCACTGTGTGTCAAGGACTGCTTCAAAAAGTGGCACATGCATCAGAGTATGAGGTATCGTAAACTGTGAAGTGATGCAGTTCAAACTCACATACAGTCTGAACAAAATACCATTGTATATAGTGTGATTATATTTACAATATCACCAAGTCTCAAAGTTGAAAAAAAAAAACTACAGGTAATTCCCCTGGAATTTTATAACATAATAAAAATTATATTTTGCATTTCATGGCAAAATAATCAGTTAATTTTCATTTGTAAAAATTGCATTTTGTGTATATGTAGAAAGTTTTATTGCCTCTCAGGTAGTTTTTAGTTCGTATTTCTATGTTGCACAGAACGGGAAATTTGTATTTTTTTTAAAGTGTGCAATGTTAAAAACTTAGGGTCATTTAAATTCCGGTTGGAGAGGGCTCCCAGCAATTTAAAAGTCCGTACGTTAAAGATTAATCAATATAAATTGACAAATATTGGAAAAATTTGACCTTTCAAAAACTGAAAACTGACACTTCATTTTCAAAACAAGAGATGATCATGTATGCCCTGTACAAATTTTGATCTCCTGGGTTGTGACATCATGTTGCAACACAGAAAACAACAATCATAACAACTGCTCTGAAAACTTCAAAACTTAGACTTCATACAGAGTCTCACATGTACACTGATTAACAGTACTGGGCTTGAAGACTAAACTGTTCAAAGATATATTTGCCATAATATGGAATTTCTATGAAAAAAACGTGTATTTTACATCTGGTAACTGAAATTAATAATTAAAATTGCTCTTCAGTTTGATCCAGACTCATAATTTATGTGAGGGGGAGGGGGTCCCCTAGATCTACGAAAAATTTGTTCAGGTCCGGTTTTGAGCATGCATCTCTCCATTTACAGACTGTGTATGTGTAAGAGCAATGACATGATTCTAGTGACCTGCTAAGGTTAATAAGTCACATATGGTACTACAGCTTCTGCATCACTATCTGGGTTTGCTTTTTTGCTGCAACCTATTAATTAATCATTACCAATTCATTTATAATGTCAATAAACTCAGAATTTGCAATTTATTTAATGATGCTGTTGGTAGCTCAGACTAAGCAGTGTTAAAAGACTGCATGACAGCAAAGAATGAATGAAAAGGGTGTCAAACGGAATGGTCACAATCTAATTTAATGTACCCTCCTGGCAGTTGCCTGGAGGGACTGAGGAAACCCATAAACGAAACTGCCATGATAGACTGTGTCTTGGCTGAGATTCAGATTGGGCATCCCCTGAACACAAGTCAGAAGTGCTACTGCTTGATCCAACTTGCTTGGTGTATAATAGTTTCAGTGTGGCCTTATTTTCAGTCAGACCACTCACTCACTCACCCACTCACTCACATGCATGAGTACACAAAGTAATTACATCTTATAATTTTCGGTGTTTTTGTGTATTATTTGCATACAGTTTTATGCCTTGTCCATAAACAATATGACCAACAATTAAAATTTTAATGAAGCTGTTCACTCTCAGAGACAATATAAAATGTAAGAACATTAAAATTACACACATTTTTAACATAAGTACAAGTATCTGGACAGGGGCATGCGGTAGCATAGGTTGAGGCACTATGCTACAAGCCGGAAGGTCGCGGGTTCAAGTCCTGATGAGGTCATTGGACTTTTTTCAATTGACCTAATCCTTATGGCCACACTATGGCCCTGAGGTTGACTCAGCCTCTAACAGAAATGAGTACCAGGAATTAATTAAATAATTTTCCTGGGGAGTAAAGAGCGGCCAGCGCTTAAGGCTGACAACCTTACTGCCATCTTTGAGCCGATTGTCTAGATAATGTGGGACCCTCAACGTCTCACAACCCTATGGGCCTTCATGGCCTGTTACAGGGATAGCTTAACTTTTTACAAGTATCTGGACTACACATCACTTGCATATATAAAATATATATGTATTGTATTGTACATATACATATGTATTCTTGGTTCAATAATGTGTATGTACTTTTGTCCTTTTCTTTCTCATACGAAAGCAAATCATGTAGCAGTTTGCTCATTTCCATCATCATTCAGTGGCCTTGGGTGTTCTGCTGCTTTACATTATGGAAAGAATTACACGTATCTTTTCACCCATGTGCATAGCTATCACTCGCTCATGGAGCTGAACCCTTCTAGAGAAGCCGACAATTATGCAGCTACTCAAGAAATTCCCAGCATTTTATGGAACCCAAGGGTTCAGTACCATGTTCACAAGAGCCCTCCACTGGTCCCTATCCTGAGCCAGATCAGTCCAATTCATAACATCGCATCCTATCTCTCCAAGATCCATTTTAACACTTCGCGGACCGGACGTCTAGGTCTAGGCGTTTGGGTTTTAAACGTGGCAGACCAGTCGCCTAGATTTAGGCTTTTAGGACACGTTATGTTGCAACACACTATTCCTCGCTTTGGTGGCCATGTGTCTGTAAAAGTACTGCGTAGCTGACCTTCGGAATGTTTGTTTTCCGAGTCAGCAACATGACCACTCTCTATTCCCCTCTCACTCTAAAGAAAAGTCCCTTTGTTCAAGTCGAAGCTTCTATGTGTGAGGCAAGATATTCTCAGTGTCAACATGGCTCAGAGACAAAAGCAGTTGAAGGCCGCGCGAGCTCTCGGAGGAGAAGAAGAAATCTGTGATTTGATCTCCGATGAGTTATCTGACTTGCCAACTGCTTCGTCTTCTGATAGCGAAGGCAGTGTCAGGGGCCCCCAAAATATTGTGACCAGAAGAGAGAGTGAAAGTGACAGTGACAGCTCCGATGAAAGTGCGAGTGCTAGCATTGCGGGGACAGCCACATGGGGTAGTGGACAAAACACCCACTTTGGGAAAGTTTACTGGTGATCCAGGGGTGAGACAAATGCCATCGGACCCTAAGCAAGTGTCTGAAGTAGCTGAACTGTTTTTTGGAGATAGTTTCTTTGACATGTTGTGTCAGGAGACCAACAGATACTATCTCCAACACCGTGAGGCGTACGACAGTACCTATAATTTGTTGAAGTGGGTGGATGTCACTTAGCAGAAATGAAAATATTTTGGCAGTGATCATTCTAATGGGGTTTACAAAGAGGGATAATTTGAAAGACTATTGGTGCACTGATTCATTTTTAGAAATTCCCATTTTTGGCAAACTCATGAGTCGTAAGAGATTTGAGCAGATATGGTGTTTGCATTTCAATAATAATGAACTGCAACCACAATCAACAAGCAGGCTTTTCAAAATTCAGCCCTTATTAGACATTTTTGTTGAGAAATTTCAGACAGTTTATAAGCCAGAGCAGCAACTGTCTTTGGACAAATCTGTGATTCCTTGGAGGGGAAGCCTTCGTTTTTGAATGTATAATCCTGGCAACTCACAAAGTATGGCCTACTTGTTTGTGTAGTCACGGAAAGCACCACAGGCTATATTGGAAATTTAGAAATTTATTCCGGTAAAGGCAAGAAATTGCAAGAAACTATTGTTTCCATTTTGGATCCCTATCTGGATCAAAATTATCACGTTTATCAAGATAATTTTTATAACAGTGTGGCAACTGCAGAATACCTACTTTCAAGGAAAGTACGTATTTGTGGTACAATCAGGGTGAACAGAGGCCTTCCTCCAGATCTGAAAGAGGAGTGTAAATCCCTGAAACATGGTGACACCACATTCAGGAGGAAGGGGGACATTCTTCTTCAGTCCTGGAGGGATACTCGCGTTGTGAATATGATTTCCACTATTCACAATTTGAGCATGGTCGATGTTCAAAGACGACACGGGCAAGTGAAGAAGAAGCCTCTTTGTATTTCTCAGTACTACATGTTCATGAAGGGAGATGATAGAGCCGACCAATACTTGGCCTATTATTCCCTTCCTAGGAAAACAGTAAAATGGATGAAGAAAGTTGCCTTGTGGCTTATAAATTGTGCCCTTTTCAATTCATTTTTGGTTTTCAAAGAGCTAAACAAAAATTCAACTTTGAAATACAAGGCATTTCTCATGAATGTGGCAAAAGCCTGGGCTACAGACCTCATGGTGGTGGCAGAACCTGTGTCAGACACAGACATAGTACGACCGGGACCATCTACTCCCACCCCGTGGAGGCCTCATATGGACCCCCCTGGGCGACTCTCGGGTGATATGCGAAAATATACCCTAGTGAAAATTGTGATGAGCGAACAATCGATGGGGAAGTATCCTTCTAGGCAGTGCCGTGTGTGCGCTGTGCACAAGAAGTGAAGCAAGACTTCCTACGTCTGCAAGTTCTGCATCATGCCTCTTCACAGAGGGGAATGTTTCCAGAAATATCACACTCTGAAGCACTTCTAGGAGCTCTGGTAAGTCTTCTCCAAAAATTTTAGTTCATAAAATTAATTAGGAGATTTTATATTAATTTTTAAAGTGAACAGTGCACAAGTTAGGGTAGTAGGTTTAAAAATGCCGGTCCCCAGAGTGATTTAAATCACCGGTCCGTGAAGTGTTAATATTATCCATCCACCTACATGGTCTTCCTAGCAGTCTCTTCTGGCTTTTCCCCCCATATCCTATATGCATTCCTCTTTGCCCCCATTTGTGCTACATGTCGTGCCCATCTCATCCTCCTTGAATTCATCATTCTAATTATATTTGGCAAAGAGTACAAGTTATGTGCATAGCTAGGTTATCTTATTTGCCTTATGTCAGTGGTGAGAAACATTACCTTCTCATGATGAAGAGATTGTCTGGTGTTGAGACAGAGGTCCTGCAGCACAGTTCGCTGCTGGTGACACTTTGGAGCCCGGGCAAGATCATCAGGTGCATATAATATACAGCTGTGCTCTTTTATGAATGATGCAGAGTTTTCACCATCACTGAATGGTACATATTTTCCCGTAACAGGCATGGTCACTGAAAAATGAGACATTCAACACAGTACTGTTGAAAAGATGTAGTTACTGCTGACATCAAACTTCAACACTGGAATTTTATTTAGTTTTCTACAACATCCATGGCTGATAATAAATCATTATCAGATATTCCATAATTAGGAAAACTTGATGGAACTGAAGAAACATCTTCTGGAGGCAAAAGATTGTAAGAGTCATTCTCAGTACATTCCACAGCATCTACTAACTGCACAAAGTCTTCTTCCTGAATTCCAAAATATCCCAATGTTGTTGAAAATCTTGAATTATCTTCTGCAGCATGAAGGAAACTGTCATCTTCAAGAAAAAATGTGAGTTCTGCTGGCAACTTGCACTCTGCAGAGCGATAATTTGCACAATCTGGGTCGTGACATTTTTGGTAATAGGTATAATTTGAAAGGTTCACCACATATTTTATGTTATTGCTATGGTGCTGACGACCTATATTGCCACAGTAGCGATAGCCAATTATATCATATACAATATGATTCCCACTGCTAAAATATGACCAACGCCATATCCGTCCTGGATAAATTGTTTCCATTATAAATTTATCCACTTCAGGGTATGGAGATTTTACATTACAGCTAGACAGTAGACCTTCAAATGATACTTTGGGAGAGCGGTAACCTGAATAAAATTCTTGGTTGCTACAATATCCATATTTAAGAATTCTTAAATTATTTACATGAACTGGAATATATGTTATGAGTGAATCCAAAAATAATTGCGTATCATTACTTTCATCCTTCTCACAAGTAGTTGTGGGTTTATACTGATTTTCTTGACTTACTATCAATGGTGCATTCTTATTTAACTTGGTAGACATGTACAAACGAAAATGCCTATTTTTGGTGTATACACTTTCATCACAGAACAACCTATATGAACCATTCTTATCCAGAACAAGCAACTCACAGACATGCAACCTCTCAATAATGTTGCCATAAGAATCATTAACTTTATCTCCATCCTCTGTCTTCTTGGAGTGTTCATTAATATAAATTCGAAGTTCACTACACATATCCTTTACAAAATTTCCTACGTTGTAGCTGTCCTGAAAGATAGCATTAGGCAACATAAATATCAAATGTCGACTAAATTTATTTTCTGTGCTTGAATCTAGGTCTAGCACGTGACGTCTGTCAGCAGTTATACCCCATTCCTTTTTGAGATGAAATGATATTATTTTTATGAACGATTCCACCATTCTGTGTCCATCGTGATGAGGATTATGTTCACGATAAAATTCCAAATCAAAATAAAGTTTACAGACAGCATGCTCTAAAATAATTTCATATGAACATCTATCTTGGCAACTTCTTCTGGAGTCATAGAACCAGAACACGGTGGGATGGGCAACCAGAAACATGCGGCATCCAAATTTATCCTGAAATGCAAATGCCATCATGCCATTCTTCCTTACTCGGACATATTCTAAGGCATCTTGCTGCTTTCTCATTATTTTCCATGTTGCTGTTGGGTCCAGCTGGCGTGGCCATTTTTGTAGTTGCGAATCTTTCCCACTATTTCTGCACATCAGTTTCTCATTTGTCTGACTTTCACATGACTTCCCACTTTCGACTTTTCCATAAAACGTCTGAGGCGTTAAGGTGACAGAAGCATAATTATCTCCCTCCGACATTTATACGAAACTGTTTTTCTTGCACCAGCACATAAACTTCGGAAGCATAAACACCTAATGGAGGGAAAATGGCTTTATAACTGAACGTAGTCATTATAATAACGATACAAATATTATACGTATATATTTTAACAATTACGTGTAAACGAACATACCTCTTTCAGAATTTACAACCTAGTTGCAGCGCGTCACAATATACTACAAAAGGCAACTTCAACAAAACTTTAACCGCTTTTTAAGCGCCGTATTTTGAATTTATGTGGTCAACCGACTAGAGGATCAGGTATGCCAACCTCTAATCAAAGCAACGCACACGAAATTTCCTACAAGTCTAGTTGTGGTATATACCTGTGGTGCATCCGAATGATCCCGTGTTCATAAATGTAACCGTTATTCTGCATCGATCTTAATACTCCGTAATGATATAAGATGCTGCAGTACTGCATCATATTAGAAGATGATCCCTACGAGGGATTATGGCCTGTATTGCATGATATTAGTTGTGTTGATTCTCTGAAAATGATAACAAAATATGTGCCGCGGACACACAAAGGAAACCGCAACGCAACCGCAATTTCCGAGAATTGATTATCAGCCTCAGTTGAACAATAATTACTGAATGCCGCAGCGCAAATTGAGGAAACGGCAAAGTAGTTCCCTCAGTTTCAACAGCTCCATTCAGTAACATGTGTTCAACTCAGGCTGATAACAATTCTCGGAAGTTGAGATTGCGTTGCGATTGCCAGTTTCCTTGGTGTGCCCTTGTCCATACAGTGAAACATAGTAAAGATAACACATCTAAGCAGGGTAGACGCGATTCGGAAAAATCTGATTGGTTGCTGGTAGAAAATGCATACAAGTAAATGTAAATTTTCTCGTTAAAAATGTTTCACCATAATGTATTTTCATGTGAGTTTTTGATCAGCGAGAAAATCAAAGTGATTTCTTGTAAAAGTTCGTTGATGCAGAAAATTCTGTTAAGACGACAACGGTATTACGGTATTTGATCTCCATCCGGGAGAGACTTGAATCCGGGACATTATGGTCGGGAAACCTAGAGCCCAAATCAAGGCCCATGGCCTAACTGTCATTGTGAAGCTTTTCGTAATTTTCCTCAGTGCAGGCAAATAATGGGATAGTTCCATAAATTAGGTCACCACTCCATACTATGACATACATTTCAACTTATAATTCATTAAATGCAGTCGCTAACTGAGATGAGCAATTGAAAGCCTTGTAAAATAAGAATATCGACGAGAATCGAGGATAAATCCGGCCCAAGCGTGACGCTGACTTCTGGCCGAGAGGAAGGGTAACAAATACTTCTATCACAGAAGGTAAAATTCCGTTTGTCTGCTTCAAGTATTTAAAACGCATTAAACATTTTTTGTACTATTATTGAACCGATTTCCCCACCTAAAGTTCTGTCAAATGTAACCATCAGTATTTAAATATCAGTAACTAAATAAACTAACTCCGTGGAATGGAGCCCTTCTTCAGAAGCCGCCAGTTGTGCAGCTACTCAAGAATTTCCCTACGTTTTATTGATCCAGAAGGTTCATTACCGTGTTCACAAGAGCCTTCCACTGGTCCCTATCCTGAGCTAGATCAATGCATTGCTGACATTTCCACCAATATCCTATGTGTATGCAGTCCTACTCTCCACATTCGTGCTGCATTCCCCCTATCCCAAACCAGATCAATCAAATCCATACTATACATACATACATACATTTCATTTCATAAGTCCAAAACAAATGGACATGAAGGTCATCATATAAAAAAATACAAAGAATTTAAACAAACACACAGATAACAATAATTAAAACTAATTGTTTATGTTATGCTCCACATATTCAGAAACTGTATAAAAGGAATTATTCATAAGATATAAAGACAGCTTTTAAAACTAATTCTATCCTCTTTAAGACTTTGAATGGTTATGGGCAATCTGTTGAATAGTTTAATAGCGGTAAGCATAGTACCTTTCTGAAAAGCAGAAAGATTCGAGTTTGGCAAATATAATTGCTTTCGATTTCTTGTATTCAAACCATGAACATGTAAACCTGAACAAAATTTAGTTTGATTATCAATCACAAACATCATCAGCGAGAGAATGTATTCACATGACATGTATTCACCATCCCATTCTATCTCTTTAAGATCCATTTTAATATTATCCATCTTCCTAGCAGTCTCTTCTGGCTTTCCCCCCATATTCTATATGCATTCCTCCTCGCCCCCATACTTGCTAAATGCACTGCCCATCTCATCCTCTTTGACTTGATAATTCTAATTATACTTTCAGAAGAGTACAAGTTATGATGCTCTTCATTATGCAGTTTTCTGCAACCTCCTGTCACTTGATCTCTCTTCGGCCCAAATGTTCTCCTCAGCACCCTGTTCTTGAATAGCCCCAGTCTATGTGAAGTTGGCCATCATGTATCGAAAAAGTTTGCTTCACAGAAGTGTTGCCAAGAAGACTCACTGCACATTCGAACAGGACTGATAAAGGAGTATGTATTTTGAAAAAGTATGATTAAGTGGATAGATGCAGCCAGATTTTTTTACAAAAGGAACAGCCAGAAATTTGCTTATGAACTTACATTTAAGCCATTAAGACTTTCTACAATCTTCTTAGAGTATGTGGAATAGAAGTATATTGTTTTAAAATATTTTTAATTTTTGGTATTAATATTTGGTGTATTTCCTTTTTTTTAAAAAACTCCAGAGGAGGAGGAGGAGGCAGATTCATGGTCCCCCCCCCCCAAGCATCCATGGTTTTGAAGCCCATTAATATAATTGCTCTTATTCAATTACAGTGAAGATCATAGAACTATTCTCTTGTCACCAATGACAAAGGAGATTGAATTGGCTCCAGGTAGATGGGTTGGAGGATCACATCCATGTTTCATAATTGCTGAAGTCGGACAAAATCACCAAGGTGACATGAACATAGCTAAAACATTAATAAGAGCAGCAAAGGTAGGAATTATATTATGTACATGTTATTTAAATGCATAATTCAAAAGAGTGATCTGTTAGCATCATATTCCAGTAGAAAAGTCTATCTGCATATTTTGTGAAGTAGCACAGTCAGTATAGCAACTAGCTACTGGTTGGTCGACTGAGGAATCGGAGTTTGAGTCCCAGTGGGGTCAAGAATTTTCAATTCTCCATGTCTTTTAGACCGACTCTGGGGTCCACCCAACCTCCTATCCAATGGGTACTGGGGGCTCTTTCCCCGGGGGTAATGCGGCTGGGGTGTGAAGCTGACCACTCACCTCCAGCTAGTGCCCAAGTCAAGAAAACTAGGGTCTATACATTCACTCCCCTGTACACCTTCATGGTGTAGTGCTTACTTAGTTAAGTACAGGGATAACTCTACGTTTATTGATTATTAATAGTACCAACAATTTGAGTAACTTTAGAATGTGGTGAGCTATACTTATGAAGTTCTTACTGTGATAATATGTTGCATCATTTTTGAAGTATGAATTCAGTCACTTAGATATAAATAGACCAGAGTTTGAGGTTTGATTATATTTCATAAAATGTGAGGACGCTTAGTTTGGGTAAAGGTCACGTTTGGTTTAATTAATTCACATTTAGGTTGTCTTAGCACATAATGTCACAGAGTTATATCTGTCTTATATCTGTTTCTCCTAACTACAACATATATATATATATAAAATGAAAGTTGCCGCTGTAAGCTCCGGGATTCAGAATGTGGGAGATACCACATCATAGTAGATTGCAAACAAAGGACTAAATCATTACCCATATATGGAAAAAATGGCTAATGCACATAAGGTGCAATCCAGTACTTTATTTTGAATGAACTCCATGGTTCTAGTCTGCAAGCGAACTATACTGACCAAGCGACCCCCTGCTTGTCGGCGAAGTTAGTTCCAACTTTAGCAGATTGAGGGCATTGCATGGTCAATGCAACGAATCCCCACGGCCTTTGAAAGGTACTACAGGAAAGGCTCATCTCCATGGTTCCGACAGATATAAATGAACTGCTGAACCTTCGTGTCAATAAACTGTATGAAAGTGGGACACACCAGTCTTAAAGCAAGCATAAACGGATTTAACGTTGTGTCCACGGCCGAATGCAAATGTGGTGATGGGCTGCAAATGGAGGAACATATCTTCTGGGACTGTAAACAGTGCAAGGACCAAAGGGCAACAATGATGGACATCTTGTCTGAGAACATTCATTCATTCATTTATTTACAGTTCTACAAACTCCATGGAGGCGTCTGCCTCAGATATAACATATGAATATACATACATAATCAGATAGTCATCATCATCATCATCAAATTTTTAAATACTCAATACAGCAAGACTGCTATACAACAATACATACCATATATCAAAATAACATATAAAATTACATACATGATCAAGAGACCACCAAGACTCTTAATATAGTCATGTAAAATATAATTTCTTAATATATAATACACCTATATCACAAGAGTAATAGTACCTTTTTCCTGTGTATTTTATTCCATAGTCCGTTGCATCCTAGCAATAGGCAACGGTGTTTATTTAAATATACATGAGGGATCAATCTTTATTCCAGCAGTAGTACTCTTCAACAGTGTAAAAGGAATTGGTGATAAGAAACTTCTTTAACGCCACTTTAAATCCAGGGATGTCGTAAGATAATTGTTTAAGCTCTGGAGAGAGGTGGTTATGAAGTTTGATACCAGAATACCATCCACCTTTCTGAAATATCATTAAGTTTACCACCGGAAGATGCAAGTCATGATTAAATCTGGTATTACGGGCATGGACATCAGAGTTTGTTATGTAGCATTCTCTATTCTTGACAACCAGCATAAGGAAAATATATATTGCAATTGAAGTGGCAGTATATGTAACTCCTTAAATAAATTACAGCACGAGTCCACATTACGAGAATTGGTAATAATTCTTATTATTCTTTTCTGTATTTGAAATATGATTTTTGCGTGGGCCAAATTCCCCCAGAATATTATACCATAAGATATTATGGTATCTTATGATACTAGGGATAAATAAACAGTTTTTAGGCACTCCAAGGATAAAAGAGGTTTTAATGCTCTTAATTACATAGGATGCCTTATTTAGTTTGGGTATCATTTGGTCAATATAGGTTTGCCATGACAATTTATGATCAATAACCAAACCTAAAAATTTTGTAACATTCACATTGGTTATTTGTTTTTTCCCACATAGTATATGTAAATCAAGAGCTCTTGTGTTTTTAGTTACAAATTGTAGAAAATAAGTTTTTGTAGGATTTAGTAGTAATAAATTACTACTAAACCATTTATTTAATTTTTCTAAAACTATATTTATATCTTTTTTAAATCTTGGGGTATCAGGATTAGTAATTATTAGACTTGTATCATCCGCAAACAAGACTGGATTGGATACATCAGGTATGGCATTAGGCAAATCATTGACATATAGAAGGAAAAGCAGGGGACCAAGTATGGATCCTTGAGGGAATCCAACGGTAACAGGCTCCCATTTAGAGTAGAATTTAATTGAGTCAGAAACAACTATTACTCTCTGGTATCTATCTAATAAATAGGATTTAATCACAATGTTAGCTCTTCCCTTAATCCCATAATGTTCCCACTTTGAAAGCAGAATATCATATGTAAGTTTTGAGGTTTTCATGGCGATGACTATGAAGAAAGTCGTCTTCTGGGTTTAGGCGCCGTGTATTTTTCGTTTTGGCCGACGTTTTGGAGTAACGTATCGCCTCCATACGTTCCTCCGAAACGTCGGCCAAAACGAAAAATACACGGCCCCTAAACCCAGAAGACGACTTTCTTCAGAATATCATAGTTGACACAATCAAAGGCCTGTGAAGATCACAAAAAACACCGCTCACAAATACTTTTTTATTTAAAGCAGTCATGATATTATTAATGAGATAGTAAGCTTCATCAAGCGGCCTCCGTAGTCTAGAGGTAACGTTCCCACCTCATGACTCGTGGTACACGGGTTCAAATACCCAGCGGAGGTTGTCGAATTTTTAAGAGCAGAAAAATTCAGGGAACAAGTCCTCCGGGAGGGACTTTAAGCTGTGTCCCGTGTTGTAACTTTACGGCATGTAAAAGAACCTCATATCCCCAAAGGGGATCACTGAGCCAAATTCCAGGACCTTTCCCGCTCAACAATAGTCTCTAAGGCCTCTGATAGATGGGGGAAGCATTATAGATACCGCTAAGCAAGTGGCCGAACTCGCTTGCTTGGCGGGACTGATGGTACGCACCATCTATCGGTAGGGTATAGAGACTGGTAGAATATCATAGAGGGAAGCACAATAGATCAAACTGGTCGCGATGCATGGGGAAACCCACCCTCTCTAAATAACTAACTAACTAACTAACTAAGCTTCATCATCTGTCGATCGTGCATTTCTAATCCAAACTGTTCATCAGTAAGAATATTATTATTCTTGATATGTCGTTGCATCCTATTATAGATTACTTTTTCAAAGATCTTAGAAATTGAAGTGAGCAGTGAAATAGGTCTGTAGTTAGATGTGTCACTTTTATCACCTTTTTTATATATGGGCTTTATTTCAGAAAACTTTAATCATGGTGGAAAATTGCCTGTTATTAACATTCTATTACACAAATAAGTTGGAGGAGAAGAAATATAGGGACTGCTAACTCTTAAAATTCTAGTGGATATCCCATCATATCCATATGAATTTTTTGTTTTCAAGGATTTTATAGTATCCTCCATTTCCTTCGATGATACGCATTTTAATGCAGTAAGGGGAAAAGGTTGGTTACGTGCCCTAGATAGATAAGATTTTCATGGTTAGAAGTGACATTAGCTGAGCAATTATTTTGAACAGCTGATATCAAATATTTATTAAATTCCTCAGCGATAATCTGAGAATCTGAGGATAAATTACCGTTTACCCTTATAGTACTTATGTTGGGTACATTAGGTTTTATGTTCAAAGTACTCTTTACAATATTCTACACGGTTGCAATTTTATTATTTGAACGAGTTATGATATTATTGTTATGTCTTTTTTTTTTGCAAGTTTGATAACAAATTAAAATTTTACAGTATTTCTTATAAAACTTAATTAAATTTATATCATTACTATTTCTTTGAGCTAAATAGAGCTTATTTTTTTGTTTATACATGAAATCCTGATTCCAGGTGTTAGCCAGGATTTATTGGCAGAGTGGGTATTACCTTTTTTTAAGGGGAAACTAGAGTGAAGTATTGTTAAGTATACATTCAGAAAAATGTTAAAGGCGGTATTTATATCTTTTTCATTAATTACATCTTCCCATGACTCATAACTTTTTTTGTTATTAAAATTAGCAATTGAAACCTCATTTATTTCCCATATATAGTAGTAACTTTTTTATGTTTTTGTTTAAATATATTATGTATTATTAGGTTCTGGGCATCATAATCAGAAAGACCATTTATGATGGGATATACAGTAAGATTTGTAAACTTGTATGTATTAATAAAAATATTACCAATTGTAGAATAAGAATTTTTTTTAAGCTTTACCCGAAATCAGTTACAGAACTCTTAAGGCTAAAAGAAAAAAGATTTCTGCAAGCGTCTGTTACTTCATAAACACCATTCCTATATTTATATAAAATGGATATATAAGAAAAGTAAAAGAAGTAATTGCACTGATTATTTACAGTATACACACAGATTTAAGTCAAGATCGATATCAACAATTGTGGGGCTACCACTATTATAGAATAATATGTTTATTAGAATGTGCTACAGAAGGCTGGATGGGCATTGCCTAGGCCTCTTTTGTATTTACATTATATAATTCGTGCACACAGACTATTTATTAACGCTTAACTTTTGAGCCCCTTGCATGCTTGACAAATTCATCAATAGAGTAAAATACGTTACTTTGCATAAATTTCATAAAACAAATCTAAATTGCTTTTTATCGTTTTTTAAAACTGTGATATTTGATGGCAGATTGTTAAATATCTTGATGCCTGAATAATACACCCCTCTCTGATAGGATGATAAATGTGTTGAAGGTATGTGAAGGTGGTCATTCCTTCTGGTACCAATCACATATACAGAGATATTAGTCTGAAACTTATCCAAATTATTAGCAACAAATATACACATGGGACTGGTAGTATGTCAAGCTTTTTAAATAAATCTCTATATGTATGAGTTGGGCCCACTCCCATCATTATTCTTATTATTTTCTTTTGTATAACAAAGACCTTATGACTGTCTGATGTATTTCCCCAATATATTATTCCATATTTCACCAGTGAATGATAATATGCATGTATATAGCTTTAAGACTATTTATATTTAATATACAGGATAATTTTCACATTAGAAAACCAAATGTGCTCAACTTGTGAAGCAAAATTTTGATATGTCCCTTACAAGTCAGATGATTGTCCAGCTGCAAGCCAAGAAATTTTATCGTTTCTACTTCTTTCAGCTTTTTGTTAAAAAAGAATGTACATAGAAGGTAGCTCATAGCTGCTGTTGGGGTGAATTTTATCATTTTTGTTCTATCCAGATTTAACACTAATTGATTATTTTGAAACCATGTAAACATGTTATTAAAAACAACATCCAATTTTATTTTTAAATTATAGTAGTCTTTAGCTGTCCTATATTGGAGCTAAGATTTAAACCACTGCAATAATACACCCTGCACTCCATAGTACTGCAGTTTCATTAATAAAAAATCATGATTAACGCAGTCAAAGGCCTTGGCTATGTCACAAAGTATACCAGTTATATACTCTTTTCTATTCCAGGCTGTAAGTATTACATTGGTTAATTTAAACATTGCATCTTCGGTTGATAATCCATTTTGGAATCCATACTGCTCTGAAAGTAATATTTTATGTTTTACGATATGATCATTGAGTCTTCTAAAAATTGCTGTTTCAAAAACTTTTGCAAACCTAGTTCCTATAGATATTGGCCTGTAGTTACTTATAACATAAGCACAATAGACCACTGTAGGTCGTGGTGCAAGGGCCGAGAAGGCCCACCTCTTATACATTCATTCATACTTATAACAGCCTTTTCCCCTTTTTTGTATACTGGCTTAATAATTGCATATTTTAATCTTTCTGGATATAGACCCATGGTTAACGACTTATTAATTACATAAATTAGAGGTTTACTAATTTGTTGTCTGCACAGTTTTATAATTTTATTTGTTACACCATCATACCCCGAAGAGTTTATTTTAATTTGCTAATTATACTAATTATTTCTTCTTCTACAACTAAATTTATTATTATTATTATTATTATGTTTGAGTGCTCGGAGTGAGCGGACGTGCTGAGCTGTGTGCTCCCGCTACATCTCTTCAACATCAGCTGCAAGCTTCTGTACAGTGTCTCTGTGTTACCCAGTGCATAAACTTAGCCTGCTCCTATGGGGGTCAGTCGTGATACTTGTTCTATATGTGTCAAGCCATTTTATGGTAAACAAAAGTCTGTTCGCTGTGGTACATGTGACGTAAGATTTCACTCCGTGTGCGTG